CGCCTCCATACACTCGAAAAAACAAACAATATTACTACATAAACAAATGTTGTTCAAATTATGCCGTGTTTGGTCTTATTTTGATCAGGAGAATTTCACAATTACATTGGTAAAAGTAATATTTAGTAAAACCAAAAAATAAAAAAGTTTTACTGTTGCATTAGTGTTGTCACATCGATACGCCGGTTCGGATTACATTACATACGCTGCTCGCTCGTCAAGTGTCAAAATTCAAGGGGGATCCCCCTATGTGGTGGGGATAGTAACGTTGCAGTTATCCAGTCCATCGTTTGTCGCAGTTATCCAGTCTTTACTGTAGTGTTAAAATCGCTAAAAATGTTGGAAAACATAACCTAGTGCATTTTCATTGATAAAAAAATGATGAAAAGATGTATGTAATAGGTTTAGCTAGAAATCAATATTATTTGATTTTTCTGCGATAATATATTTTGTTAAATAAATTAATGAGTAAACCATATTTTGGTCCGAAAATTTAATGTTTATTTAAATTCATTATTCTAAAAGTTATAAATTATTTTAAACCAAGCAAAAGAAAGCAGTATCTTTTATATAATACACAAAAAAATATGATCAATGCTGTACTAAATTCTGCATTTACTTTTAAAATCAAACAGTTTAAAATTATTCATTGTTGAAATATTTTCTTAAAACAGACAGAATTCGACAATGCTCCAATTACCATATTTGTATATTTAGACTATACTTACATACCAAATAACTATCACATAACTTCCACAAAATAGTTACATGTCTTTATTACCTTAAAATAGATAAAATAGCTCAGCTCTATTTAAACCATCTGTAAAAGAAAAATCAAAGAGGTCACAAGGTATCATGATGTTCAGTTCCTTTAAATCTATCTTTTTATAGGTAAAAAATACTTATCTAACTCACAGTCGCAAAACTAAGACTTGGTTACACAATTTCTGAATCATCAGGATTATAAACTGAGAACTGCGTCTGAAAGAAATAAAAATATAAAAATCTTTTGCAACCATTAAACACATAAAATTATATATGTAAATTCATTGGACGTTTGCAAAATTGGATATTTTGTAATAAATAGTATTTCATTTGAGTCAATCTCTTTCTAATTATTCTATCGTCTTTAACATATTTCAGAAGTTGCATTACAAGTGTTAATCATCATTAGTGATAGTGTTGATTAAAAATAAATAGTTATTGTATATAAATATTGTTTGATTTATATCATGCTCATATGAAATGATTTTACTATTATTATTATGAAGAAAATAATATTTTCTTTGGATTTATCAAAAGTATCGCTCAATGAAAAATTTTATGCAATAATACTACATGCAATAATGTATATAATACTAAATATTACACAATGTATAACAAAATGTTGTTATTATTATCAATAATGCATGTTACACTTCAAGTTTAGTATTTAAACAATATAAGTAAATATAGTCTTATATATCTAGCTTATGAAAATAATGTTGCAGAATCCACCATTTATTTCTTACATGAATTATAACTTACAATTCTGAACAATAGAGAAACAACAGGCAATTGAATCATATTAAGGTCTCATAATATAATTTATTTTATACCCTGATTTAACTTTTTTTAATGTTATTATTACACACTTGCAGCGTAGTTAAAAATAAGGTTCTTTAATAAGAGTTTAGAAATTAAGATGTAATTATATAATTAGATTTCTAAAAGATTATGACAACTAAAAGATTTTAAAGAGGATAGAATTAATTATGTATTTGATACTTACATGTTTTTAAGAGTTATAAAGCATTGATTGTTCTTGTATGAGGTTGAATATAATGATATAGTTTGGAAGGTAAACAATGTGATGTTATTTAACGTTGATACACTTTCATGTCTTACATATGATTTAATAATTGTCTGTAACATTAAAACAATTTATTTTTATTATATATATATCATTTACTATATAACAACAAAATATTATAGGCAACTATAATATGCAGCACTGATTAAATTACCTGTAGAATTTGAATTAAAGTGATCGTAAAGTACCATATTTGATCTTCTTGAATCCATATTTTTGTAGGTAAAACATACACATCTGAATTTCCTTTCCAGTCTTCAGTTGTCCATATGCATATTACCAAGTGCGCAGATGCAATCAAAAGCCATTACGCAAGTATCACCCTTTAGTGCCTTTATACTTTTCAAATATATTTTGAATGTTGAATTTTCCACAGATTGTTTCACAAATATTATATACATATTCCATGCATTTAAGAAATATTAATTTTCAAATAATTATCCTTGCGAATAAAATAATACCTTTATATGTTTCTTAAGAAACAAGAATTGATTTTAATAAGCTAGAATTTAAATTATTAAAAAATTATAATTAATTTGAATAGAATCGACATTTATGTCATGAGAATCGATAAGTGAAGTGTTCATTGTGTGCATATTGATTGGTTGTAGTAGACTAACGGCAAAGGGTAGGAATGCAAAAAAGCAATAAAAAATAAGGGCTTCAACAAAAAAACTACTTTTTAAAGAGAGACAGAATGGACAACCAATTTAAATGCTCTAGTTAAATGAATCAAACGTCGGGGTGCTATCTCGACGTGCTACTTCGAAATGCGCATGTGTATAGCGTGCAAGTATGGTAGTCAGCAAAGAATACCTGCACATTAACCAGTAATTTATTTGTACTTAATAAATATTTTGTCATTTTTCTGTAACACATTCCTTTGTATTTTCTCGAGATACGTAGTTTATCATTTCTTTATTAACCCACTTCGAAAAAAGAGGAGGTTACTCAATTCGATCAGTATATTTTTTTTTTTTTTTTTTTTTTTTTATGTATGTTCGCCGATTACGCCTAGCTGGATGGACCGATCGGAATGAAACCTTTTGCATCTGGTAGGTTCTGACTCCCCATTGGTACCATTATCAAAAAATTTTTCATTTTTTAATTGCAAAATGTTGTTATTGCAAAAAAACCGGCAACTTTTGAAATAAACTTTTCTCGATTTTAGTGCGCTTTTAATATCTTATCACGGACATGATTCTGAACAATTTTGTTCATATACAAATTTCGCGGAAAGGTTTAGTTTTCGAGATATTAGCGAAAAATTGTTGAAAAGTTTTGAAATCAACTTTGGA